AGCGCGCCCGTCTCCGCCTGCACCGACACGTACGACGACAGCGCCGCGCCGCGCACCCGACCCTCCCACAGCCGGTACCGCACGCGCGCGTTCTGACCCCAGTCCGCGTCCGACGCCCGCACCGTCAGCACCAGCGCGCCCGCCGCGTTGTTCTCGGGCACACGGGCGCTGTAGCGCGCCTCCGCGAACACCGGCGCGTTGTCGTTCACGTCCAGCACGCGCAGCGCCAGCACCGCGCTGCTCCACAGCGGCGGCGACCCGCTGTCCGACGCCCGCACCGTCACGTTGTACGCCGACACCTCCTCCCGGTCCAGCTCCTGTGCAGTCACCACGCGATAGTAGTCCTCGAACGTCTTCTCCAGACGGAACGGGAGGCTCTCGGCAATGCTGCACCGCACGTCTCCGTTGGCCCCCGAGTCCCTGTCTTGGACGTTGAAAATTGCAATGACTGTCCCCAGAGGTGTATCTTCTGGGACCGGACTGAACACGGACATAATGACAATCTCGGGGATGTGGTTGTTCACATCAGCGACCGTGATGATGACCTTGCTGTGGGTCGAGAGCCCACCCGCGTCCCGAGCCTGCACATCCAGTTCGTAAAACTTCGGTTCCTCGAAATTCAGCTTCTCTGTTATCTCAATTTCTCCACTTTCCGGGTCTAGCTTAAAAGTCTTGTCGAACTTCTCCGGGATTTTAAAGAACGAATACTTCACCTGGGCGTTTGGCCCTTCGTCTCTGTCAGTCGCTGTCACTTGTAACACCCGACTTCCCACGGGCGCGTCTTCTCTCACGGTCACCTTATAAATGGGCTGAGTAAATTCCGGAGCATTGTCGTTTCCATCTAAAACAATGATTTGGATTGTTGTCGATCCCGATCTCACAGGAGTCCCGCTGTCTATGGCTGTTAGGATTAAAGTATGAGCAGCCTGCAGTTCCCTATCCAAAGATTTTACCAATATTAATTCCGGATATTTCATACCGTCATCTCCGTTTTTCACGTCCAAGGTGAAATAGGTGCTCTCGCTACACTCGTAATTCTGTAAAGAGTTCACTCCTATGTCAGGGTCTTGAGCTTTCTCCAACGGGAAACGCGTGCCCGGTGCAGTATACTCGCTGATTTCCAAGACGCTGTTCCTTTCTGAGAAACTTGGCGAATTATCATTAATATCAAGTATTTCTACCTCCCCTCTGTAAAGGTTCATTGGATTTTTAAGAAGAAGCTCAAAATTTAGAACGCATTTAGCAACAGCTGCGCATATCTCCTCTCTGTCCACCCGCTCCTTCATAGATAAGTGGCCGTTTTGCAAGTCGAAAACAAAGTACTGCGTCCTACCTGTGTCAAAAACGCGGGCGCCTCGGGCGCGGAGCACCGGCATATCCAGCCCGAGGTCCTTGGCCACGTCGCCCACGAACGAGCCCTTCGGCAGCTCCTCGGGAACCGAGTAGCGCAGCTGCCCCCACGCCACCTCCCACGCCGCCACCACCACGTACCAAAGCAGGGCTCGCTCCCAACGGCCCGGGCGCCCTCCTTTCTCCGCCATTGTAAAGCTCGGCAGCAGTTGCCCGCTCGCCTCTTCGCCCACCGGAGCTGGTCCGGGGGG